CGGCGGGGAACCCGGGGTCGCGCCGGGCTCCTCGGCCGCCGCCTCTTCCAAAAATGCGGCCGCGGCAGGCCCTGCCTCCGCCACCGCCCCCACCGGGGCCCAGCGCACCGCCTCGCTCGGTGGCAGCCATTCCTCCTCCTCTTCTTCGTTCTTCGCCTTTGGCCCAACGGTTATCGGCTCCGCGGACGCTTCGGCCGCCGCCATCTTCCCGGAAACGCCGCCGCACGTCAGCCGCGCCCCCTTGCTGCCATGGCAACGGCGCGCTGGTCCGGAAACCCGGAGGCGCGGTGGGCGGGGCTTGCACTTCTGACGTTCCCACGAGGGTGGGCCTTCCCCGGGGATTTAACTCGGGCCAGTAATTTTTTATTGAGAGCCCATTGTGAACCAGGCACTGAGTACTAAGCGTGGGAGGAACAGGGGAACGAGACCGGGGACAAGTCATTCCCTGGGTGTAGAGTCTAGGGTAGCCCTTGCCCTGGTCCCAGCGTGGGGCTCGTCTGTTCCTCATCTGTACATTTCTGGGGCCCCCGATGGGTGAAGGGCTGCAGGGATTAGCACTTTCGGAGAATCTCCGAAGTACAGATCCCTTGACTATTGGGCCACGTTTTCCCTTCCTCTCAACTTTCTCCAACCATATAAGGAGAGGCAGCTGCTGGGGGCGTCCCCAGGATCTAAAGATAGAGGCCCCTGCATGGGACTCCAACTGCCTCTCAGCAGCCTGAGTCGCCATGGCACGGTGAGCGTTTCCGGTCTCCCCTCTTGGCCCTTTTCCCTGGAAATTCCCTGCCCCAGGTCTTCTGGGTTCTGCAAGGCCCTACGGGAGCCCCGGACCCCAGGTCTATGTGACCGTGGGGTGGGAGGAGGTGTGACCTCCCTAGCGCCTACCTCCCTAGTCTTGCACTTTAAGTCCTAGGTTCATTCTCGCCACAGCCAGCCACTCCTGTCATTCCTTCCCACCCCTTTTGGTCTCATTTAGCTCCATTTTGACAGGACTGGCATCAAACGTCCCTGTACCATCCCTTCCCTCTACCCTTCCCAAATGCCTTCCATCTCTCACCCCTGTGAAATCCCACCTCAACTTCTCTTCAGACAGCCTGCCCGGACCCTGTGGTACGACAGGCCCAAGTATGTGTTTATGGAATTTTGTGTTGAGGACAGCACCGATGTCCATGTGCTCATTGAGGATCACCGCATTGTGTTCAGGTACTGGCCCCGAACCTCTCCCATCTCCTAACACCCCCATATTTCTTCTCTGGCAACCCCTCAGCATCATTGTCTCCTTAGCTGCAAGAATGCCGATGGAGTGGAGTTGTACAATGAGATTGAGTTCTATGCCAAAGTGAACTCCAAGGTAAGGGTGAGGTGGGACAGGAAGGTCTGGATGGAAACCTGGCTGCCCAGGGAAACTGGAGATTAATTCTCAACCTCAGACCCTAAGGATGAGTCTCTGTCTGGCAGGACTCTCAGGATAAGCGCTCTTCCCGCTCCATTACTTGCTTTGTGAGGAAATGGAAGGAGAAGGTGGCCTGGCCCCGGCTAACCAAGGAGGATATCAAGGTGAGTGTGTGGGAAGTGGCTTGCTCTTTCTATCCATGTACTCAGGTACCCAAGTCAGAGCTGGGATCATCCTTGTCTTCTTTCCAGCCAACGTTCAATAACTCACCAGGTCCTGCCTGTTTCACCTCCTGAGTATTCTTGAATTCACTACTTAATGTTTTCCTAGTTCAGGACTCATCCATCACCTGGTGAAAGATCTGTTGCATATTTTTAGCCCCATCCCCAATCCATCCTCTTCATTGCCCCCAGAATGGTCTGTCTAAACTACACATTTGATCTTGTTACTCTCCCACTTAAGACCCTTCAGTCAGTCAGGCTCGGTGGCTCAGCCTGTAATCCCACGCCTTTGGGAGGCTGAGGTGAGTGGATTGCCTGAGCCCGCGGGTTCAAGACCCGCCTGGGCAGCGAGACCTCATCTCTACAATAAATCAGAATC